CCCCTGAAACATGGGTGATATACGCAATTTTTGAACGCCTTGACGGGCAATAGATTATGACACCGACCGGAAAGGAGTTTCTGTATGTTTCATTTTCTTCATTGCTACTAAATGATCGTTTTTCTCGAGTGAGAATATTTTGAAATAGTAATTTAAAGAGAAAATAGTTTAATAAGAGTTTCATTTCGTGGAATCGGCCTCACAGAATATTTCAATACTGTCTTGATAAAACGGCCTCATAGATTGATCCGGTCATGGCAAGAAGTTGGTTTCTCACCTGAACGGTTATGATTGCGTTCTGTATAGCAGAATATCATCACACTACCTCTTTATTCATTGTAAGATAAATCAGAGCGTTTACTCCAAAAAGTGATGTAGAAATCATTGGCTGTACTATTTTCCATTCCACAGAATACTGAGGAATTAGCCGAAGAACAAACCAAGAACAGTTGAAGATGAGAAACATAACAGCACATTGGAAGCATAATCTGTGGAGCATATAGCAAAATATTGAAAAAAGATTTTTACCTTATTTCATTGGATGTTTTCGAGCTTTCGACACTTCGTTTCATTTTAAAAACATTCGCGAAGAACTGAAAAGAGAACATAAAAGCGGGAAGGATGTGTTCATAATCAAACAATTATGTATGATACAAGACATATAACAGATGATATAACCATCAAAGGAAGAATGACGAAGTACCGAGAATAGTTTGGAGAGTTCGAGGGTGTGTATCTATTTCCAAAGTAGAGAGGATCTTGGATTAAACTATTCAGCAGAGTATTATTTGTAAATTCAGTTCACTCACCGACAGCAAACGATTATATTTTGATTGAGAGCCGTAGCAAATAATGAGAAGACAGTTGAAACCATCAAAATAAGAACAACACGCCAGCGTGTGAACAAAGTGAGCTTCGGATACAGTACGACAGAAAGCCTGGAAAGCCTTGTTTCGTGTCCCACTATGCTTCTACCTATTGAGAGCAAGAACAAGTTGAAGAACAATCGATATCGTCCACAAAAACATAATAATAAATGATAGAATCACTTCATTGTATAACCGCTTCTTGAAGCTACAATTACCAGAACAACAGCATGTGTTATCAATCAAACCTGGAAGTATAGAGAAGGTCCTACGCTAAAGATAGCGTTGAGAAGTCCAACGGTGTCGCAACTTATGTTAAATGCGATTATAAGATAGAATTGATTTGAGCTCTTGGATAGAAGCTTTCCTCTAACAAAGCAGGAGAGACAGATAGTATTAAAAACTAACAATACCCAAGCTTCTATGTTGTAAGATAGAGAGAGAATAAACTGCGGCCATTCCATAAGTTATTCTCATTGGAACTGCATCGAATTCGAATTTGTTCAAGTCTCAACAAGTGCATGTACCACCGAAGAGTTGAGAACAACATCCTTAGATAACATTGCTTTCCTGAAATTTGTTTGGTGTCAGAGGTAGAGAGAGAGAGAGAGAGAGATGTGCGATTACAGTAATATTTGAAGTTATCAGTTAACCTTGGAATTCGAGGTAACAATCACATTGAAGTTCTGCTATCAGTATTTTATTCAGCTAGTTGCGTGGAGACGTCACTTCTCTGAGAATAAAAAGATATAGAAATTATTGGCTTGTCCTGTATACGAAAACATTCCCAACGAATGAGGAACTCATTCTTTCCCAACTGTAAAACAGTGAACACTTCAGTCGCACAAATATAAAATTTCAGTAATTAAATGATTCCATGAACTATTCTATTCTTAATCATAGATCCGAGAGCACATTCTGCATGTTCCACATCAAACAAGAAATTAACTGTGAGATATTTCTTCAACAAACACCCACAGCGACTAGAGATGAAAAATGAGAGCATATCTGGTGCGACAGACAAAAATCCATAAACAACCGCCAAGTCGAAACGAAATGCAAAATGAAAACAACTGAACAACCATACTCAGGGCTAAGTGAAGAAATTTGAAAAATCGCGAGCTATCACATTCAGTTTGGTTAAACAAGACGTGACAGCTTCCGGTACACGGAGCCTGAAGAGGATGAGAAAATTTTATATTCGAAAAATAAACGTTGCAAACATGCAATTGATACATTACGTATAACTTATCAGATAGCTGTTACAGTTAATGAAACGTCATTAAAACCACAATTTAATTGTAAAAGAATAAGGATTATAAGCGAGCAATAATTATCAATTTAAATTAGTTTTCAAATTTGAAATAATCAAAATAGAGAGCTGGATTAAGCTCTTCCCCTAAGCATGAAACGGAATAATTATAATTTAAATGAAGAGTTGGACAATGAGTTATGTTCAAATGATTAAAATAATATTTTGTTGGCTCAAAGAATTCATGTTGATATCTCAAACAATCCCGAATGCAGATGTGACGAGCATCATCAAGATCATCAGCACACCATGTACCTTCACGCGTATCCGCCTCGTACTGAACAGCTCTGGTTGTTCTATTACGTCTGATTGGAACGAATGGACAATCCTTCTCTAACTCTTGAACTCTAAAAACAATATTATCATTATTACTATATAAGGTCTTATCTTTCTGATTAACCTGATATGGAACGGTAAACGAATACTTCGGAGCCAAGTATTGCAGCGATACCGACAAGTAGCTGTTGGATAGAGTTTACAGCAGTGGTAAGCTAAAGACACGATGAGGAAAGAATACTTTACTAAAGTTTAAAAAATTTTTAAAACTGTACTTTGATCGAGTTGCATATTTGATCCATGCAGTTTTTCTTCGATGCAGATGGCACGTTTTTCCCATTCCTTAACTTCACAAGGAAGGCTTCCAAACGGTTGTTCCAAATTCTCCAAACAACATTGCTGTGATGCTTTACCACAACATAAAGCGGTAGCTGCAAACAAGAAACATTATTTTTATAAAAAAAAATTATTGACAAAGAGATAAACTTCAAACAATACCTATTCTGACGCGTTCCTTCGGTTTTAATGAGCCTATGGGTTTTATTAAATAAAACAAACAAAGAATAATAGTAAATAGAAATGGTGTTTGTATAAATCTACTCATTATATGCTATAGTTAGTATATTGTGTGTGTTTTTGAACGGAAATGAGAGATGATGATGAGCAAAGTCACAGTCTCTCATTCAATTTTTGTAGTTTAAACTAGAAAAAACAGTTTTTTTTCTTCATAATCGATCATTTCTCATGCAAGGAGGAGTAAAGAGGCTCAGTCATCATCATTATCAATCTAATTAACGATGAGAATCATATGCATCTTTTTGTCCTTTTTTTGTGTGTGTGTGTATGTGTAAGCGTATCCACATAACCATTATCCACTAGAAGTCTGAGTCAAAGAGTTAGCGTTTCATCTCATCTCTCATATTTTTGATATTTTTTTTTTGTTTTTTTTGTTCGGAAAATCGACTTTGTGAACTGCATTCTCACACATTCTACTGGAAAAACGAATCCATAATAATTGATAGTTTTATTGACTTTTTAGATAAAAATTGTGATTGATGAGAAGAAGGAAAATGACTAATAAACCTTCATTGAGTATTCAACAATTCCTTTTTTGGTCTGTTAAACGTTCAACTTGAATTGATCTCTTTTTCCTTCTTTTTTTTTGTTCTCTTTGCGTTCTTTAACAAAACTTCTTTCTTTTTCATTATTATTACGAATTCATTGGATAACGATGGAAGCTATTGAAGTACGCGATCACTTCATTCATTGTTTCAATTACATATGCATTGTAAAGGTTACCTCCTCCTCTGAACGCAATATATGAAAAGAAGAATATTCTGTGCGAATGATGATGTCTTGTTCATCAACTGTATGATGACGGCAGCTGTTCGATTTTTATTGGAATTTATCTTTTTTTTTCTCAAGAACAATAGTTGAAGTAATTGGAACGAGAAAGATATTAGACAAACGTTAGAGAATATTTTTCTCGGGTAGTTATTGACTAACTACTCCCTCTATCTCTCTATCTCTCTCTCTCTGTGTTTCTTTTTCCCTCTGTCTCTTCCATTCCTTTGCTTCTGTTCATTCCTCCTCAAAAACAAAGAGTTCCTTCTTCTTCGGTTTTTAAAACATGCATTTTTCTTTATTTTAAAGTACATATAATGGATTCTTTACAATTCGTTAAAATGGGAGAAAAAAAACAACAAATTTCTTTATTTGGTTGTTGAGTTTAATTTCATTTTGTTAACTTCTTTCTTCATTTTAACTTCTTGTTTGAACCTTCGGTCTTTCTTTTCCATACGCCCTTCGTCCTCTCTCTTACCCCCCACACACCCCATTCGCCCCTCCTCCCACCCATCCCTCCTATTCAACTCTCTTGTCTCCTCTTCTTTTTTTTTCGAGTCCAAAAATGATAATTAGTTTCACAAACGAGGGTAGAGCAGCTCGCTTTTTACTGCTTCCAGCTCACATCTTTCTTCTCATTCGCCCATAAATGTGCATTTTGGCAGATATTTTCGATTAGATCGATTTGAACACGTCAAGAACTGCTGGTGATGGCCGATTTGTTAATTTTTATTTGTTCAGGGTCTTCCCATCACCTCATTCTCATAGTTGAATTTCATCATCAAGTCTGCGCTGTGTTTCTGAAATATCGAAATCATTCACTATTCGCTTCCTCTTCTCTCTATTTCATGACTAAAAAGAAGTATATGGCTGCTTTGAAGTTGAGAATAGTTTTGGTTTTTGTTCAAGAAAAGATATTTGATATATCTGCGTCTGAAGATAGATTGAGTTGTCTCGAAAGGAGGAGACTGAACTCAAACAACAGAGATGTCGGAAGAAACAGAACCTCCGAGAGAAAAAAGAGAGAGAGTGCGGAAGAAGAAAAGAGCACTGTACACAACAATCCAAACAATTTTCCTTCTGCGTCAACCTTCCCTTCACATCTTCCTTCAGCTGATTGCAACTGAGCACTAGAAATCACGTCTGTTGCTTCGACTGAAAAGCAATCCGGCCGGCTTCACCTTTCCTCGGAGCTTTTTCCTTTTTTCCGGTATGAAACTCATTCCGCTCCTTTCTAATATTTCACAAGCTTTTGCAAATCTATTTTCTTGTCGGTTTCAATTCAGTTAATGCACAAAGCTCGTATAAACCTTAATCCATCAATCTGTTTTCCAACGCCGTCGTAATCATCAGATGAGTTTTTTCGTGCTTCTTGTGTCTTCCTCTCTCCTGTTTCAATGAAATTTCAGCTTCATTTCCATTTATAGTGGAATGAGGATGAAAGGTGAATGAGACTGATTCCTCTTACATCATAGTCGAGCGAGACTCATCTGTTTTCCTGTCTGCCATTGACCTTAGTCGCCTTTTGACTATCGAATGTCCTTCGTTCACATCTACTTCCTATCCATTTTGACAATTTTGGCTGAATAACTGACTAAATTTTTTATTTTTTTTTCTTCCTCGTTTCCTCTTCCTTCCATTTTCTGAACTTTATGCATCTTCACTTTCATTACATTTTCGTATGTTTATCAAGGAAACGAAAGGACATATTGTATGAGCAAATTTAACGTTTTGTTCTTTCATCATAACTGAAAATACGAAAAGTATGAATAGATTGAGCTTTCAGATGTCCTCTTCTCCTCGTCTTATTTTTTTTTATTCAAAAATGCTCAAGACATCCCACTTTTGCTATTATTTTACTTTCTTCGTCTTCATCTCTAAAAACAGGTAGTTGTCGATAATACTCCAAATCTAGTTTCACAACACACGACCCTTGCTTGCGGAAATGCCGGTTTCAAGTGCTGCGGGGCTGTTGCTTCGTCCTCCTATAGGGGGATCTGTATATGCTTCTTCCATATATATCGATTTACTAATCGCACTGTGTCATTCATTTTTTCCTCCCCCCATTTGCCAATTTCTCAATCAAATTCTTCCATATTGTCTGGAATAATGTAGTTTTGCCATTTATGACTCACTTAATCTCAGTCTCGTTTGCTCTTTCTTGTGCTGCACTTCCTCTCTCTCTCGTCTTCCCGTTATTTTGCAATATGCACGCTGTTTACGCGCGTCAGTTTGGAAATCGTAGCGTTCTATTTAATAACATAGCTGTGAGAAGCTGCCATCAATCGAAGAGATGAACGTTTCTGTCTCATAGCTCAACTTTTATTTTGTATTTCGAAGTTTATTGAACATAATATAGTACGAGGTGACTATTGTGTGTTCTCATCAGTCTTTCACAAAAGAAATAGTCGATAAATGGGCCAAAATGCTTGACCATCTTTTTTTCATGTTTTCAAAACTTTTTTTGCGATTGATGTTATTTTGTTATCATTTTCGCTTGTCTACATCTCACGTGTACAGTTCCATTATGCTCTGTCGATTATACAATCTCTCTGATTATTTCTATTTTATGTTTTAATCCCAAGAAATCGTCTTAAACGTCTTCATAGCGCTTCAATATCGCACTCATCTTTCTCATCTAATAGTTCTAGTCTCTCAAGGGAAGTTCTGCAAACTTTTCTTTTTTTCTATCGATTTAAGAAAAAGTTTTCCAGAAACAAGTTTAAACTAGGCATATTCTGAGGTTATAATATAGTATTTGTTATGTTCTAGTACGACCTCTACCCAGTCGTACAGATCTCGTTCTGTTTGATGTGTAGGGAGAAAGAGAGCTATTCATTCTTTATTGATTGTGTCGCGTCTTTCATGTCAAATCTCTTATTACTTTCCTATCACAGTTGGTCAGCCTTTGATCTTGCTTCGGTTAACTTTCCTGCCATCTTTCTTACATTTTCAGTAACAAAATGAACGTCGTCGAAGAAGACGCACATTTCTTTGATTTTTGGTGATTCGATAACGTTTCGGCTGTTTTGCTGCATCAATAGTCATCTGCGTTCATTTAAAGCCATATTTGTTCTTCTATATTTATACTTAAAGACTTATGTTATTATTTTTATTATTTCGAACTTTATCACACTCCATATCTTTCGAAATAGCTTATCATAGCGTTCGTCATCACTTATTACTCACTCCTTGTTGTTTCACGTGATTCTTCACGCGTTTTGTGCTCATTTCATTTTCACTTTTTTTTCAAGATTTGGCGGTCGGCTTACATTCCAGTACTAAATTGCCAAGGATGGGGCGAGCCGTTGTGCGTCTCAATGTATACGATATGGTAAGTTTTGATTCCTCTATAGCTTTTTTCAATCTTTCTGTTTTTGTCTTCGAATCCTTTGTTAATCTTTTATTTCCGTCGTTCTCACTGATAGTTGATCTTACAATCATCCTGTCATTTCCACTAACCATATGTCTTTTTTTATGTTTCTTACCACATCACATGATTCACTAGCCAGTTCACGTGCACCTCTGGTTCTTGTGACGTAGTCAAAGATTATTTTTTTCCTCCTTTTTTTCCGTTGTAATTGTCGATATAGACTAGCCGTGGCGATCGGTCACTGTTTGGAGCACAAACAAGCACAGTTTTTTCATGAAGACGAAGCAAACAGAAAACGTTCCCATTCCGGTTGTGAGCCAGGAAGCGGAAGAGCCGTTTCGACCACGCTTTTCTTGAACCGAGAATTCCTAACGACGTCATCAGAGGAGATAGCAAGAAGAAAATCGTAATTTTCTGGTTGACTAAGCGTTCAGGAAATCTGTGCGGAATAACGGAACGGGGGGGGGGTTGTATTAGAAATATTCTTGTATTGACTTGTCCGTAAATGGATACAAAGACCGTTCTAACTCGCTTCTTCATCTGAACGAAGTATGAAAATATTTGTTTTGTGGTTGTGTGGTATGGTTGCTGGAACAGAGTGCTTAAAAGTGGAACGAAATTATTATACCTGTAGTTGTTTGGCTCTTGTCTATCAAAGTTGTCCTGGTCTTCTTATTATTCTGATTTATCCTTGCATTTGTCCGTCCTGCAAGAAAGATGAAAGAGCCAGTTTTTGTTGGAAACAAAGAAAAACTTCAATTAATTTGCAGTATTGGCTCAATGATTACGCGGCTAACATAGGATTTGGAATCTTTCACTCAGGAATAGAAATTTATGGCGTTGGTAGGGGCTTCTTATAATTTATGCTCATTTTGACGCAATCGTTTCAGAATATGCTTATGGTGGACATCCATATAATTTTTCCGGTATCTTCGAGAACACTCCTCAAGATGCTGAAGAACTAGGAGAGAATTTCAAGTTCAAGTTTGTTCATATTGTGTACTTGTTGAATATCAACTAGTTTCTTTAAAGGGAATCGATATATCTTGGAGAGACGGATTTTTCAACCAATGATGTGAGGGAGTTGATCAAAGCTGTTGGGAAAGATTATAGAGGGGATAGGTGAAGTGAAGCCTTACAATGTTTCTTCTAATCTCTTTGTTACAGATACCATTTGATGAATAGGAATTGTAATCATTTTAGCTCTGTTTTAGCTAAGGTTAGTTTTCATCATGCTTCTCTTTCATAATCTTCCAATTCTCAGACTCTCACTGGAATTGATATTCCAAATTGGGTAAATAGACTTGCAACGATTAGTGGCTCAATCCCCTTCCTGGAAAAGGTTATTATTTTGCCGCTTCATTGGTCTTAACATTTTTTTTCAAGTGTTTGCCTCAAGAATGGCTAACTCCTGTGGCTCTTCAACAATCTATCAACCATCCATCGCCAGCATCTTCGTTACCAAGACGTGGGTCTGTCGAATCCGCTGAGGAAGCCACTGAACATTTAGGAAGTCGTTTAAATGGTAAGCAAGTTTTGAGCTTGATAAGTTCATTTTCTATGCTCTTTGTTCTTTGAATCAGTATGCTCGTTTGAAGATTCTCGAATCACTGTTCTCTCCGGGGTTGCTGGTGATTTGTCATCTTCATCGTCAACGACATCATCAGACGATGGTCAGGGCTCTCCATCATCATATTTGAAGTTCTGGCATCATATTAAGAATACGGTTGTAGATGGAATTCGACAATAGTATGTTTTCATATTCCATTCTGATTCTGAAAATAGAAACACTTTGCAGGTTTTACTTGTAAATCCTATTGAGTTCCGAAGCCTTACTCAAATGGAACAGGTCACCAGTTATGCCTTCATTCTCTATACTCCCTCATGTAATTGTTGAAACTCTTTCACTAACGAAACTCATTCTCTAAGCCACACATAGAGTACAGGAAAGAATAATCTTTCATCCTAACACAACGCAGGTTTTTGAATATCAAGACTTTGTTTTATGGATCAATCAATTCATAGGCATATTTTCAAACACCATTAAGTTTGAAATAATAATTACTTGATCGCTTCTCTCACCTCTGCCGAAGTTTTCACTCCTTATTTGTACATATTATGTTCTCAAAGAACTACCCCTAAGCACTGCCAACCGTATATTAACCTTATCTATCTAACTATTATATATATAATGTTATATATATAACGCCATTGCCTAAATATCTAACTATATCAGCTAATGTGGTGGAATCATCCAGGCTCTTCCAGAGAATTCTCATCATCTTGCCTACATTTAGTCCTTTTAGTGTATGTTTGATGTGTCTATTCGCCTGCATTTCTCCCAACAAACTATATCACTTGTTCTGATTGCCTTATATTTTTATGTCATAATTTACTCACTTTCTTTGATATTTTGATCAGCAACTTGTGAATAAACATTATTAGCTGTTCTCTACTTGTATTTTTCTATTTCAATATGCATTTGAGACTGATTGAGTGACGTTTGTTCTCATCACGTTCATTAGCATACGTGACCATTCACGTGTATTTGCGTGGTAAACTGGTTGTCGTCATTTAACGAAGCAAAGACGATGGGAATGGTTGTACTTACACTCTATAACTGCAGTAGGTACATCTATGTAGAACGTTTACTTCAACTGATTTTACCAGAGGTTAATGACTTCAAGAAAAAAAGTGCCAACACGGTGAACAAATGTAGTTTTTATGTTTGCTCACAACAACAATTTCCAGTATTTGACTGGCTAATGGATGTAGAACTTATAGAGGAGAAGCGAAGCTCAGAAAGTCATCCACTTGTCTCAATCTTTGACATCTCAGAGAATGTGATGGGTTGCAAGGACCGAATGTTCTGAACCGATAATCCATTTGAATTCCCTTTAATTCACATGGCTCACAGATGGAAAAATTGAATTTTTCAAATTAAAATTGAGACAAAATAATAATTTTGTTATATGGAAACATGAAAGTGTTTAAAACATAGAAAAAGAAAACAAAAATATCTTTTACTTTGAACAAGGAAATGCTGTTTCAAAGGGAAGTGTTTGTGAGGAAGTTGAGCAGCAGCAGAGGAAATATTCACTTCAAACAACAGACGAAACAAATTTTTTTCAGAAAAAAAAAATGTGAATTTGAGCTCTGAAATCGGAGAGGGTCCGTCATCCGTCTGAACACCCGAACACACGAGGCAGCCTGCATATATGGGGAATCTCTCGATCTGAACAGTTTATAGAAGAGTACAGTTTACGGTGCTTATGATAAATAGTATATGATTACACTGTGCAATAGCTTACTGAAATACTGCTGATTTCAAAATCGTCCGTTGCTCACATCCTTTATGGCAGAATTGAAAATTAAAAAAAAAAAAAAAAACATCTATACGGAGAAATGTCTTGTGAGCTGGGGTATTTGGTTTTCGAATAAAATCCAAGTTACCTGGATGCTAAATGAGGTAAAGAGACAACAGATAGGTTGATGAGAGAAAGTGTAAAATAGGAGAGAATGAGAAAGAAAAAAGAGAAACGAAGCCTGACAGAGAGAGAGGTAAAAAAGAAATATCGACGAAGGACATGTTTTGACATAGAACATTCATCTGTTTGTGTGTGAATTGTATTGAAAATGGATAAGTAAAAAGAATTTTTCTTACTAAATTAAATGTTCGTTAAATCTCAAAAGGAATAGAGAGGTAGAGAGAGAGAGAGAGAGACAGAGAGAGAGGAGGAATTGATGAATCTCTCTTAATCGTCATCGGCTATCATGGTTTTGAAGTTGAGTACGTTGGGGGCTACTTGCGTCAACGGCATCATCTTGAGCTTTATCTTCTCCTTCTTCTTGGATGTTCAACTTAATTTTGATCTTGTTTTCGTTAGTTTCTAAGTTGTCTCTTATTCATCTATAACTTTTTATTTTAAAGAAATTTTCATAAAAAGATAGAGAGATGATGAGAGAGAGGAGATTTGCTTGACAGACTGTTAGATCTAGACAAGCAGAGTAAGAGAGAGCTGAAAATATCTATATTAATTTATGCCTTCTGATCTTATTTGCAATCTTAACGAACAGATGAGAATGAATATATTTCTTGTGTCTTCTTTCATAACTTATTTCACTGAGATTATTGATTCAGCTTAACAATCTTAATAAGAACAAAGTAGAGAAAAAAAAAGAAAGACAAAGGTCTTGCTCTCTCTCTCCTTCCGCATTTTATCAAATATGTTTTCAAACTGCATTAGATTTGTTAATTTATGTACATACTGGACTAACAGCACTACCTTCATTCCCTGTCAATCCCTTGCCCTCCCTCACATTCTTTCTCTCCTTAAGGCTTTTTCGTCTCTCTCCCTCCCTCACATTATTTCTTTTTCTTTTTCTCCCACTCAAATAACCTTCCAATGATTACCCCCCTAACTATATGACTTATATTGTTAATTATCAATCGTTGTTACCATTGTTACTTCTTCTTCTTCAACTCTTAAACTCAGTCACCGTCTTTTACATATTTTGTTTTTTTGATTTCACTCACTCCCTTAAAGCTCAAAATTTTTTTCGTCTTAATTGAAGTTATTTGGAGCATGCGTTACGTGTTAACCATGCTTACATCTACGTCTCATACCCACGTCTTCTCTGCTTCTTCGCGTTCTGACATTTTCGTTTGTGATCGTCGGCATCTGATTTGATAACCTCATAACATCTCTTTTCGTTTCTATTATCAGAAAAGCCGATAGGTACACGCTGAACTACTTGTGCTTTTTGCTTCTCTTCCATTTCTGATACTGCATGGAGAATGGCATGAACGTCACAACAACAATGGATTTATCTGACCTCACAAATCGCACTTTATTAGAGGTATTCTGTGCAATAACATAAAATATAATTAAATATATGAAATTTAAGTTTATCAATAGCCCGAGTGACTTTGAGCATCTCAGAGAGCTTCTCTCACAGCAGACAGGACTTGAAACGTAAAATTTGCTTTAATTTATATTTAATTATTTAAAGACGTTAGAACTTACTTCCTACTATGCCTTTCAGAGCTAATAGTTCCTTCACAAACGATAGCCTTGTTTGGTATTTTTCCGATCCAGATTATGAATCCTACTCAGTGAGTTTGTGAGCTTTTCATGAGATTGTCTCTTCTCTTCGCATCATCATTTCTTTAAAAATTCATTTTTTTTCTTTCTACTTGTATTCTACTCATCTCTCATACACGTCCTTCTCTTGCACACATTTTGCTTTGAAAAAAGAAGTAATTTTTCTCCCATCGTCTCTGATACATTGTAACGCTTATTAATCTGCAGAAACGAAAACTTTATTTTCAGCTTCTTCTTCTTCTTTCTCTTCTTCTTCTTCATCTTCTAATTCATCGTCGTTGTCGTTGTCGTTGTCGTTGTCGTTGTCGTTGTCGTCGTCGTTGTGGTGGTCGTGGTCGTTGTCGTTGTCGTCGTCGTTGTGGTGGTCGTGGTCGTCGTGTTCATTGTACATCAATGCCTCTCGTTTTCCATTTTTTTATTCTTTCATCCTGCTCATAGAGACTTGCAACTTGTTTTCTTATTTATCATTTTATTTTAATTTAACTCCACCCTAACGAACAAGTTCTTCTTCTCATATACTTCTTTTTCTTTTTCATTTTTTTCTCTTATTTTTCACAAAGTTCTTCGTTAACTTTGAACTTTACGAAGGCAGAAATACAATTTAACACTTCCGTATTCGTCTTATGCTTTTCTTATAAATTCACACAAATGGCTAGTACTGCTCCGTTATGTGAATTTCAATTGAACATCATCCTTTTCAATTTAAAATCCCAAGAAAAATGGTATGCAAGAAGAAGAAAAACAATAACGAGCGAGTGAGAGAAGGAATGAGATGGAGTGAGAGAAGGAATGAGATGATGAGCAGTTAGAGGAGCATCATAGTAATAGTCGTAGTAGCAGTAGTAGGCAATGATCAGAAAACAACCGTTCTGCTGTCAGGTAAAGAGCATTAAATGAAAATCTTATTTTTACGTGAAAAGTTTAGACGTGTGTGACCTTCACGTTTTTCACGTAAATCTCAGTATACACATACATAAGAGATTAAAAATCACAATCAAATCTTATATTTGAATATTCATGAAGAAACGAATAAGGATAGAGACTCTTCGTCTTCCGTTTCTTATTGTCTATCTTGGCATTGAAGAGATTTTTGAAATACAACAGTCATGAATTCTATATAATAATATATTTAAATTATAATTCAGAACATTGTTTCGAAAAGGAGAAAAAAAGAAAAAAAAAAGAATTGAAAGTAAAAGGATAATCATAGTGAGACAACAATAAATGGATAGAAAATGGAATGTTTTGCTTAGCACAAACTGACTCCTTAATCAGATGGAAATATTTATTTACAAATCCATATATGTATTTTGCGTTTAAGCTCAAACTTTCTGCTTACGACACACACACACACACATCAGGAGACGTTCAGACTTCAGAATGCTGTCAAGATTGAAAGAAAAGCTTGTAAAACTTCAATCTTTCAAAGATGATACGTACTTATGTTTTTTTTGTCGCCTCTCCCTATAGATCTTCTTGATATTCGGTTGAACTTTCTAATGTTCAAATCTTTTTTTCTTTTTTACTTCATTTACTACTTCGCACTCATCACGCACAGCTTCTACCTCGGACATTTCTTTCATCACAATGAAGATTGTTTCTCATCTGTTATTGTCGTAGGCCATCTTTATAAATTTCTCATAAT